AAGGAAAGAAGAGGGCAGAGTACTGCATGGGCAGAGTCTGGGTGTCCAGCCCACACATAGGTCAACGGCCCCACTTGGTCTCAGGGTGCCACGTGACTGCTGCTGGGCTTGCACTGCAGGCCTAGATCCCTTCTTTTTGCTCTGGCTCTTCCACCACTGGACTTTCCACAATCAAGGGCCTCTCCTCCTCCTCTCCTTTTTACCACTTCCTGCAACTGCTTCTTTCACTTATGTAAGAAAACTCATCAGTATTTTGCTAGCTAGTTCCCATAATCATTTAAATTCATCCAATAAGGTACAGGAATGACTGCTAACAGCTTGAAAGCTTCCTCCTTTCTGGTGAATCCATGCACAGAGCTAACTCAAACAAATCAATTATTTAAAATGTTATTAAAGCAAATACATTAATCTCTCCTGAACGATGCTGGAGTCACTGGCCTGAGGTCAGGTTGGTCCTGTAGGCTGGCTGAGCCAGTGGGGAGAAGGAGAGAGAAGCCTTCGGAATAAAAATCGCTTTCAAAATGCGAGTCATGGGTGGACTTCATATTGTTGACTTATCTCAGTGTGAACTGTAGGCCTTTACGCATATGAGGTGGACTCTTAAAAATATATAGTAAATAGACATTCTTTTTTTTCTTTTGGTCTATAAATTTTGACTCTGCATACCTGTATGCACCTATTGGACACAGAGCACTAACACCCACCAGAATCTCTTCATGGCTATAGGGTTACATCCAGTTCCACCCCTGACACCTGCCCATCTTCCACTCGGAGCTACTGTAGCATGTGTGTCTTTGGAGAAAATCATCGAAGAGAAGTGACGGAGTGTGCAGCCTTTGGAGACGAGTTGCTTTGCTCTGCTTCATCCAGATGTGTATCCAGTGTCTTTCTTCCTGTTGCCCAATTGTACACTGTGCGGAGCCAACCGTTGGAGACACCTGAGCGTCTTTCAGTTGCCAGTGATGAGGAACTGACCTGCTGTAAATATTTGCCTCTGTGTTTCTTGGTAAATATCCAGGAGTGGTGTTATAGTTTGCAAGGGAATAGATTTAATACAGGACACATAATTTATAGGATTATTTTAAAATGGTCACCCAAAAAGTCAAATATGGAGAATGCAGGAGATCTGTCCATGCACTGGAGACCCAACGAATCCAGCTGAAGTCCTGGATCCCACAGCAATGGCAGACACAAGTCCCAGAGCCCATGACAATGTCTCATGCAAGTCTGTTTCATGGATCTGCACTGGGAAGGTCCAAAGGCCAGCAGTAGAATCTAGAAAGTCTACACCAGCAGGATGAGGGATCTGTGCCAGTAGCTGAGGGATCTGCGCTAGAGCCAGGAAGCGATGCTCAGGTAAGGACCAGAGCTCCCCTGAAGAGAACCACAGCCATTGTCAGTGACAACAAGGACCTGAACTTCTCCAACAGTGAGACGAGATGAGTTCATATCAGGAAAACCAGCATGCCAAGCTTCTCTGGGAAAATCAACATCACAACATCTTCCCTCCAGTTCTCCTTTTATGCTGTTGGCAACAATCCTCAAGCGGGCCCTCCACGCCCAGCACTGCGCTCACTCAGTTCAGCTGGATGTGACACGTTGACCATTAGTTAACCCACCACAAGTGGGATTTCTGGGTCTTATGTTAAGTGCATGCCTAATTTTATAAAAAACTGAATCTTTATAAATGGTATTGTGTTTTGAAACTTTGGTTTTCAGTTGTTCATCGCTATTAACTATGCAATTGTTTGGATCTGTGTCTGTGCATTTGGCTTTGGGTGTTGACAGTATTCTGTAGTCTTAAAAAATTCACTTCTTACTTCTTAGGAGGTTTGCATTCATTTATTGTTCAGTTCTTCAGAACTTTTTATAGACCACTCTATTCTCTGCCAATACTGGGAATTTTATTTCTGCCTTGTTAATCTCCATGCCTTGTACTGAATACAGTCATCGTGGAATTTTTGTGGTTTTGTATTTTGCAGCTTGCAAGTGTTGTTTATCAGACATTCATTCCGTTCTACTTTTCCTGCCCATCCCATCAATAAGCATGAAGCTTTGTGAAGACCTGGTCCTACTTCAGCAAATGTGACTGAATGGCTGTTCAGTCTGTAAATACAGTGTCTTCCATAGATTCAGGTTCAAACATTAGCCCAACCTTGTACTCTGAGGATGAAACCTCCGTGGTTGTGGTTCTCGATATGTATTTGGCGGGCATCAAGGGAGAACAAGGTGCTCCCTTGATCACAGGGTGTGTGACAGCTTTCTTCTTTATCCTGGTTTTGCCTGGCTTTGTGGTCAGAGTGTCAGTACATTGGCTCATTTCCAGATGCAGCTGTTCCCATCTGTGCATTGTTTCAGTATCTGGTGCATAGACACTTGGGTTGCTTAAAATGAATCTGAGACAGAACCTCTGATCAGCACCTAGCCTGCTATCCTCTCGGGGAGGACACTGCACTCAAGCTCTGGAGCCCAGCCTGCTGCAGCAAACCTCAAAAGTCCCTCAGCAGGAGGAGACCACACCCTCCAATTATATTGCAAGAGGATCCAGTTGAAGTTTTTCAAGAAAAATGATCAGAAGCACTTTTGTGATGGGATGAAAGTGCCAGGCTCAACTGTGAGCGCTTCCCCTTCCCCTTCTGATGCAGGTCTCCACCTTTAACCAGGTCTGGCTTCCCTCTAAGGCTGAGGCAGGGAAGTTCCCAGCTGATAATGTGCGGTCTGCGGCTGTGGATCCTGGATTGTCACTGCCCAGGGCTGTAGCTTCCCTTTCCTTCCACTGCACCCTCACTCAGATTCTGTCCTGCAAAAGCCGAAGGCAGAGAGCAACCATCTGGAAGGGAATCCCAGGGCCATCTTGTTCCAGATGTTTCTGTAGGGAAGGCTCCAGTATGGCAGGAGGCTGCGGGCCCAGGGGGCTGCTCCCTCAAGGAGAGATCTGCTCACATTGCCTTCCCGGGAACCTTGAGCCTTCTGATCCATCCTGATTTCTCAGGGGGGTCAGCCTGAGTGTCCCTGATGTGTTGTGGCTTGCACTGCTGTTCCTTAGCCTCCCTGGAAAGTAGTTGCTTAGTAAAACACACGGGCCTTGAACGTAAGAGTACAGATTGAAATCTCTTCATTTGGGAAACGCCCTAAGAGCCGGGGTCAAAGGGACCATGTAGACAGACAGGGCTCTAGGTGTCTTCCTGGCTGCCGCGGGGGCCGGCCTAGGGACAGATGTGAGGTGGGGCACGGGCAGTCACCGCATCAGGACTGTGGGTCCTTGACGTGGCACAATTGTCTCCACAAAGCCCTTAGGGCAGAGCCTGCTGGCACCCACACACTTTTCCTGGGTCCAGATGTTCCCAGCAACTTTTGAGCAATGTCTCGGGAATCCTGAGAGCCACTCAGCAGAGAATGGTTCCAGGGAAGTCTGGCAATCCTGATGTCATCCTCCAGAGAGACCCTCATGCTGCTCAGGAGGTCCTCAAGACACAAGTTTCTGAAAGCAGAGCCCAAGATCCCCAAGTGACTTTTGTTTCCTCCGCGTTCGTACATTTGCCTACAGGCTCCAGAAGGTAGATCCAGGGTGCAAACCCAGATGCTTCTCTGCTTTCTGAGCCCTGGACTTTTTTTTCCCTCCTGAAAGACTGGATTTAAATGTGCACCATCAGAGGTGACAGGATTAGAGAATTTAATGAATTACAGAAGTATCCTATTAAGGGATAGAGATCATCCTTATAAACCATGAATTAATTTTTATGAATTAGGCCCGAAGAGCTTAAGTAAAATACTGCTAGTATTTCATAAGTAATTTCAGTCTCTTTAACAGTATAAGTCTCCAGTGTATAATATTTAGGTAATGATTATCATAAAGTCGACATCTTCTGAGTGCAATTTCATGTTCTTAGCGTTCCTCTGTGGGGAGCAGGGACCAGGGACCAGGCAGGCGGCATGTTTGAAAGACTGTTTATCCCACCTGATGCGTATGAGTTTGAAGGAAATACGGGGACCATGCAGACAGATGCAAAGAAAGCACCATGCACTGACCAGGTCCCTAAACCTGCTCAGACAGGAGAGAGGGGCTGCTACTCAGCTCCAAGGTGGGATTGAAAAATACAGTGAGTTCTGCAGCTCTTAATAATTTATTGCATATGAGACACTGCCGTGCACTCCCTTCCAGAGACCAAATATTCTCCTCCTCCTCCTCCTCTTCTTCCAGCACACCCATCCCATGGTTCTTGCCACTTTCTGGAGCTGCTTTGGTGCCTCTTTCAGCTCTTCAGGCCATGGCCTTGATCTCCTGAATCCATCCAAACATTTCCTTTTCATAGCTATTTTGATTTGGGGGAAAAACCAGAAGCTGCACTGAGCCAGACCTGAGGAATGAGGTGGCTATGGACACACGGTCATGTTTTTCTTTGCTGGAAATTGCCATAAGCGCGTAATCAGTGAGGATAATCAAAACGACAGTGGATGCTTAAATCTGAAAAATGACAGAGCAAGATGCCCTACCATTGTCCCTCCTTGTAACGCTCAGGACCCCCTCACTGGGTACACACTCACCTCGTCATTCTTGGCAAGTGTCTTTTATGGTGATTGTTATTGTGTGTTTGATTTAAACTTCCATCATGTGTTGGGGCATTCCTGTAGCATCTCATAGAGTCTGGGGTTCCTAAGCCAGAATGAAAGCGAATCAAAGAAGCCCACATTTTCTGAGTGGTTCCAGGACAATTTGTTGATTAAAGCAGAGGTGGCACAAGGTGCTAATTTGAAGGTTTCACATAGGATTCAAATTCCATAGTCACTGACTGACTGTGTGGTCACCACTGAGAACCGTAGAGAAGACTTCCTGGGTGGGTGTGGTTGCCAACTCGCAGTGATCAGAGCCAACTTTGGTCAGTTTTGTAGTGTTTCCCACTGGGGACTTCTTGCCTCCCGGCGTCACAGCCTGGACTCATTTGGACCCACGTCATGGTCAATGTGCAGGAAAAGGGAAGGACAGTTTCCTGAGGACTTACCTTAGGTCCTGCCCTGGGCCTTCTCTACATGATGTCTCTGAGTTTCCTAGTGCAGTTGGGGTGCGCATAGCCGTGCTGACTGCTGGTGCCTTGATCCCAGCTCCTCTTCCTCCCAAACCTCCTCTGCTCATGGATGGAGACCCAGGTTTGCTCACCCCCAGGTTCTGCGGCAGTTGGCAGAGGAGCTATGTGTGGATCTAGAGGGAGGAGAAGGGGAAGAGGAAGGCTGGGCCTTTCTCTCCTCCTTCCTCCATGCGCAGCAGTCCACTGCGGGCCACCCTCTGACTCCTCTGTCCCCCTATGGTCTTGGGGTGGGGTGGTGCTCTCAGGTCCCTCAATCTTAGTCCCTGGCCACCGCAGCACCCTGGGAGGTTAGGTCCTCCCTGGACGGCAGTCCCTGGCCGGGTCTGTGTCCTAGGATGCAGTCCCCACTCAGGTTGGCCTCCCTGAAACTGGGACTCTGAGTGAACTGCATCAGCCCCATCCACACCACGTCTGTGTCCATAGACCTTGGTTGCTAGCTGGGTCTGTATCTCACCCATGCTGCCCCTCTCACAGGTGCTCTCCCTCAGGTCCTGGTCACCCAGACCTTGCCACCAATCTGCCTGCAAAATGCATCAATGCTGACACCATACTGAACACCGTCTGATGGCATAGCAAACACCATCTGATGTCACAGTAAACTCCAGTGACATCATAGCAAACAGTCTACTACCATAATGCCCCCCTCTGATGTCACAACGAACCCCCTTGACATCACCCTCATAGTGAGCCCGCTAATGTCATGGTGAACCCACTGATCTCACAGTAAGCTTGATGTCACAGTAAACTCAAGCTGACATCATGATAAACTGCCTCTGATGCCATAATAAACTCAAGCTGCCACCATGGAGAACCCCTCTGATGTCACAGGGAACCCCTCTGACATCATAGTGCGCCCCTCTGACACCACAGAGAACTCCTGCAGCTGACTCTGCTGTCGTCTTAGGCAGTCACTTTGGAGCCTGCCTGACTCTGCCAGAGACCCTTGTCATTTTTAGGACCACAGCCACCTTTGATCATCTGCTTCTCCCCGCTCAGGGTGGGACTGTCCTCCTGCCCCCACTTCTGTTCTGCCCTCATCTGCATGGGGCGGGGCACTAGCCCTCTCATCCCCCTCACACAGCCAGTGTAGTCAGGGATTAACTCAAATAATAAACAAGGCCAGGGTTAAAGAGACAGACACCCCAGAAACTGTTAGTCACACTGTGTCTTCTCGCAAATAAAAACAGCTTTTGATAGCTGCTCTCCTTGCCCTTCTTCATGGCCTTTCCCACGGGTGAGTCACACAGGGACCAGGCTCAGGTCACCCGGGGCGCAGCTCAGGCTGGGGGGGGGGGGGGCTGGGGTCGGAGCGTGTGTGGGGTATCTCGATTCCTGTCATCAGTCCCTTGGCTTCACAGCCTGTGTGTGTGGAAAGTGGCTCCTTTGGCCTCCACATTTTTATTTCCTGGGGTTTAGTTTATCTCTAACTGATGTCTACAGCTACTACGCTTGGAAAGCTCTGTGAGATTTTTGTTCTATCATAAAAATATCATCAGCCAAGTGACCCCAGTGACAGAAGTTTTTTCTGGGACCAGAAGTCCGAGACCATGGCCTGAGGAGGGCTGGTTTCTCACCCATCGAGTGTCTGCTCTGCTTGCGAATCTTCCACGGCTTCTCATGACAGCGCCAGTCCTGTGGATTAGGTCTCCATGACTCCAGGGATTCCATATGAACCTGTGGGGAGCACGGTTCAGTCCACAGCCCTGTTGCTGTGTTTGGACTGGGGGAAGTTGTACCTAACCTCTCTACTGTCTGCGTAGCTGCCCTCTGAGGGTCATACAGGCCCCCTGACTCATCTGAGGTCACCAAGGTGGAGAATGAAGGAGGGCTAAGCGCACACAGCTCTCCAAGCTTTGCCACCATAGCTTCTGTCCTCAGCTGGGGCTGCCTTGTGGCCCTGCCCACTGCACAGAAGGAGAACGTGAGCTCTGAACATTTTGAAGAAAAGCGGAAGGGGACTTCCGAGTGAGCAGCAGTGCATGCCTCAATTTTCCCCACGAGGGAGAGGCATATCATCCATCCCTCACTGGCCAGCAAGTGGCAAGCAGTGTGCTGAAAATCCGCATACAGCACGCGGTGGGCAGCATGGAAGTTTTAAAGAAATTATTTCATTTATTCCTTAAAACAATCCTGTGATGAGAAACAATGAGCCTCCCAAACACTGGAGGAAGTAAGGGTTAGAGGAAAAGCAAGAAAGTCAGAGCTCAGGGTTCACAGGGAACCAAGTGCCCGGGGTTTCTGAGGTGGCCACAGTCCTGGCAAGGGACCGAGGTGTGGGAAGGAGCTGGCAGTGAGGGTCCTAGCAACTTAGTGCCAATGGGCCCAATGTCCAGGTGAACCTCCACTGGCCTTGAGAGTTATCTTTCCCTATGTGCCTGGCAGTTACCATCCGTTTAGCCTGATCTTCAGTCTCTCCTACAGCAGAGAAACTCATGGTCTTAGCCTTGAGGATGGTAGAGGAACGTGGTCCCTGTGTCACTCGGGAGAACCAGACCTGAGAACAACATACTAGATTTCATTTCAACCACAAAAGGAATAAAGACAGAACAGTCAAGACCTAGCTCTTTCCCAAGTAAGCTGGGGGAAGGGAAATCTGGGTCCTGTGATCCTCCCCTCATCCCCAAGCTCTCTGGTGGCTGCAGGATGCAGGCTTGAGCCAATATGCACTAAAATGCACTTGGCGGGGGGTTGGGTGTCCACTAGATTGTAGGAATGAATAACCTCAATAGTAACCTCAATACCTTTGCCTAGGTGTTCATCCTTTGAGCAAAACGTTTTTTCCCCTCTGAAATGGATAAATATCTGTTAATAGATTTTGCCTTTCTACAGTGTCTTAGTCCATTTCTTGATGCTATCAAAGAATACCTAACCACGGTGATTTATAAAGAACAGAAAGTTACTTCTTGCAGTGCTAGTGGCTGTCAGGTCTGAGATTGAGGAGGCAGCATGGGAAGGGCTTCCGGCTGCTTTGGCCCATGGTGGAAGGTGAAGGAGGAGCCAAGAAGAAGTGGCTCCTTACCCAGAAGCCACTCCCCAGGTGGCGGCATCAGTCTAGTTCCTTACACTTGTGGCCCCATTGCCTCTCATGGGCCACCACCTCCCACCACCTCGGTGATGGGGGTTAGCTTTCCTGCAGAGCAGATTCCAACTACAGCCATGGAGAGATTTACTTTGCCCCCGGTCACCTTAAACAGCACAGCAGCACTCACCTTCCTGTCTCCTGGCTCAGTTTTCTTGAGCATAGTAGCTAGGGTCACATCCACTGCCCTGCATTGCCTGACCTCCCTTGCTGGGTGGTAGGCACTATCATTTCAGTGACTGATGTGTTTTGCTGTAAAGCAGTTTCCCTCAGCAGTACAATGCAATTGCAACAGCAAACTGAAGAAAGCTTCAAATAAGCTCTTTACAATGGAGCAGATTGTATGCTCTCTATCCATCAGTGGTTTTTCAAGAAAAGCACTTTGCCATAGGTCTCTTTTTGGTTTGGTTGGCTTGCAAAACAATTTCTCCATGGAACTTTGGTACAGAAAAATGTAACTAGATTTACCGCTTTCCTTTCTACCTTGGGATGGTGGCTGCATACATGGAAGGTATGGGCAACCTAGACACCCCTCCACACACACAACCCAAGCTTCATGTGGGAGCTAGGTGTCTGCTGAAACGGCTTATTCCGCCTGTGTTTGTGCTAGCGGCAGACTGGCCGGAGTGAGACTGCTGATTAAGGGTAACAAGAGGTCAGTCTGGGAGAGAGGGATACCAATCCATCATGGCGGGGGAGAGGGGTTAAGAGCATTCTTGGTAAGGTTGTGTCTACAAACTAATAAGCTGTCAGAGTGGAGCTGATTTAGGAGGGCCAGCGGAAAGAAAGCAGCTCGTTTGGCTGGGGCCAGCCTGAATCGGCTTCGCCTTTGAGATGATAAGCATAAAAAAGTTGCAGAGTCTGAATTATTTATCGTTCCATGAATGATAATGAGCTGATGGTAAAGAGAAAGAACTTGTTTTCAGTCTGCAGCCCGGACAATCTGCACCATTGGGGCAGGCAGCACAAGTGGCATGTTTGTGCAGAGCCGCACGTGGACACTCTGTGTGACATTTCATACCGTGAGTGCATTTTAAAACGGAAGTAAGCCTTGTTTTTAGAACAGTTCTGGGCTCACAGAAACCCTGAGTAATGAGTGCAGAGCTCCCACCGTCACTTCCGGCTTCGCGCCTTAGTTTCCTGTATTGCCAGCATCTTGCTTCAGGACAGCACGCTTGTTATAAGGACTGACGTGGAGACATTACCACAGAGCTTACAGCAGCTCCACTCTGAGAGGCACATTCTCTGGGCTTTGGCAAAGGTGCAGCAGCATGTAACCAAGGTCACTGTGTCCTGCGGAATAGTTCCTTGACCCTAGGTCCCTGCACTCTGAGAAACCTTTTTTTTGGCTCTCTATAGTTTTAGGTTTGTCCAGAACTTCATGTATTTGTAACAGTGCAGCCCACAGCCTTTTCAGATGACCTTTTTGCACTCTGAAACATCCACTGAAAGTTTCTCTGTTTTCTTTCTGTGGCTTGAGAGCTCTTTTTCCCTTTTTGTTTGTTTCCTTTTCTTTATTCCTTCAGTTACTTAATAACCTTCTATTGTGTGCCTACCCCACAGCTGTTTGGGGCAGGTCACCCCTCTGTGTTTTGGCAACTCTGGCTGAAGCTACCGTAAACACTAGCACTCAAGTTACTGGAAGCTCTATATCTGCAGTTGTCCGGTTAAGTGTGAGGGGGCACACAGGTAGATTGTATGCTGGGAATGTGTTTAATTTTGTAAAGTACCTGCCACAGTGAACTGCACAGTGGTTGCTAATAGTGTGTGTGTGTGTGTGTGTGTGGCACTTTTTGTTTCCACACTTACAGTTGGGTCACCATCTCCTTAGGTGCTGGTGAGCGACATTTACGAATTGCCCTTGAATTCTCCCAATTCATCTCTGCTTTCTCAGAGGGAGAGCTTAAAAACAGAAAACATAGGTTTGCTTTTTTTTTTTTTAAATTTTAGAAATATGAAGTGTGTCAAATGGGAAAATTTTTCGTATGTATTATTTTTAAATTTAAAGTTATTTAAAAATGTTAAAGTACTATTTTAGAAGTGCTTTGCAGAATACTGGCTGGCATTCCCTATTTGTATTTCTTATCCCAATTAATCTACATGACTAAGACAAGATCATGATAATACAATTTTCCAGTTTTCTTGTGGTTAATAAATTTGTTAAAAGCAACCTCACTGAGCTCCAGTTTGGTAGCTAAGGGGGTGTCTAAACCTCAGGGCGCCACCTAGTTCTATGATACTTTATCAATTACACTCCCCGACTTTCCCAAGGGGAAGCTATCAAAGGTAAGCATGCATGTCACTGGAAACCCCATTTCAGATTAGAGGGAAGTCCCATTTCAGTCAGATGAAGCCTTATCAGAGCAAGAGAGAAGCAGCCAGGAAGCTGAGGTGCTGAGATTAATCTGCCCAAGGCCGTCCCTGATGATTAGCGGGGCTCCCTGAAGGTGG